GAATACGTCCCCACCCACGCCTCACCGTCGAAGCCCGAGAACACGACACGGCAAGAACCACGGAAAACATAGACGCGGAAACAGAGATGGACGCCTGTGTTAGGTTAAGGGCCTCTGTTGCCGGAGCACCTTGGAGGGACTCCCGGGAAGCTTCTTGGGACCGGTCTGGGGCAACCGCAGGGCTTGCCATCAATAGGTCTCGGTTCTCGGGCCCCTTTTTGAAGCAACATTGGGGCGCTCTTGGGGGGAAAGCTCTATGAGAGCCCCTATGGGTTCCATTTGGAGCTATATTGGGCGATGTTGGAGCCATGTAGGGGGCATCAGAAGGCCATCGGGAGCGAAACGGATAGAAGCCTAAACAATAGAATATGACGCAATGTTATGATGATGCTGGTTTCTTGGGGGACTTTGGGGAGTTATGCTGGGCCGCCTTGGGGCTATGTTGGATCCTCTTGGGGCTGTCTGGGGGCCATCTTGGGACGCGCCTTGATCCCCGCTGTTGGAGCCCTCTTGGGGAGCTCGGGGGACGCTCTTTCGGATCATCCAAGCTGTCTTGGAGCCCGTCTGGGCTCCATGTGGGGCGATCCAAGAGCTATATTGTGGCAGGAAGCCCATCTGGAGCGAATCGGCGAGAAAGCCAAAAATACATTGACAACAAAAAATGTGTGGATGCGTTGGGCCTCTTGGGGGCTATCTTGGACCGCCTTGGAGCTTTATCGAGACCTCTTGGGGCTGCTGCGGGGCCATTGTGGGACGTGCCACACATGGGGCCCTCTTGGGCCGCTCTGGTGGCGCTCTTTGTGATCATCCGAGCCCTCTTGGAGCCCTTTTCTGGGCTCCACTCGGGGCGATCTTGGAGTCATGCTGACGCAGCCTCGGAAGCCCATTGGGAGCGAAACGGGGAGAAAGCCAAAACAGTCACTGTGCACATACAGCAATCATACAAAACAAAAAGAGTAGTTTGAATGTGCTTGGCATCTTGGGCGCAGTCTTGGGAGGCTCCGTGGCCACTCGGAGCCATCCTGTGCCGGCCTTGGGTTCTTCTCAGAAGCACATGTCGACTAGACGTAAGAGTGACCTTTCGCCGGAGTGACCTTTGGTGCGGGCACAGATGGGTCCCCAGGTGGCTGAAAACGAAGCAGGAGCAGCGGCTTGCTCGCCCAGGTTTGGTCCCCCCGCGGCCCCCAAAAAGCCGCGCACCAAAGGTCACTCTTACCCAGGGTCACTCTTGCGTGTAGCCGAATATGGGATGAGATCGGGGGATCGGGAAAGCTCAGGTGGCCGTATCGGATGCGTCCTGAAGGCTTCACCGTTGGTGATTGCGGCGGCCGCCCGGCGGCTCTGAAGTCCGCACCCGGGATCTGCCCGGGGTGCCTCTCACCCGCGGACCCCCAGGAGCCGACACGCTCTCTCTCGAATCGGATAGTCCTCCTCTTCCTCCTCCTCCTCCTCCTCCTCATCATCATCATCATCATCCTCATCCTCCTCCTCCTCCTCCTCCTCCTCCTCCTCCTCCTCCTCCTCCTCCTCCTCCTTCCCCTCCTCCTCCTCCTCCTCCTCCTCCTTGCTCCTGCTGATCCCCCGTAGCTCTCGCCGAGATGCTGGTACGCTTTTTGTCCCGCCAGGCCGGCAAATGTGTCAAATACCGCATGGAGGCGCGGAGGCCTGCAATCAGGAGGGAAGAACGGAACGGGCACACATCAACGTCGATCCCCGAGCAAGCACGGGAAAATTGTGGGACGTAGGAGGGGAAGACGAAGATCTCGAAGATGTTTCAAGCCAACGCAGAGGGATCTTTGGGAGTCGTGAATGTTTGAGTGTGTCTCCCTGGGCCATTTCGTTGTGTAGGCCTACAAGCAGCCCGCTGCGGTCGGTGATCCTCCTCCTCCTCCTCCTCCTCCTCCTCCTCCTCCTCCTCCTCCTCCTCCTCCTCCTCCTCTCCTCCTCCTCCTCCTCCTCCCCTCCTCCTCCTCCTCCTCCCTCCCTCCCTCCTCCCTCCCTCCCTCCCTCCCCTCCCCTCCCTCCCCTCCCTCCCCTCCCCTCCCCTCCCTCCACAATTACTCAATATGAATATACTCTCCCTCTTCCCCTGATGGCGTCCGGGTGATGGCCGCGCACCCTCCGCGTACTGTTTTTTTACACACAGGATGCCCGGGAAATCCCGGGAAACGACTCTCGCTGAGGCGCCGGCGTCATTTTTTCCCAAAATGCTGCTCTCGTTGAGGCGCCGGCCTCATTTCTGCTCCCGAATCGTTCCGAATCGTGCTCCCGCTGCAGCGTGGGCCTCATTTTCGGATCGGTGTTTGGCCTCCGTCGTTCAGGATGGCGTTCTCGCCCCAGCGCGGGCCTTTTTCTCGCGCGCCCATCCGCCCGCCACCACCGCGCCGCACCGCCACCACCACCACCACCACCACCACCACCACCACCCACCACCAGCACCAGCACCACCAACACCACCACCACCAGCACCACCACCACCACCACACCACCACCACCACCATCACCACCACCACCACCACCACCACCACCACCACCACCACCACCACCACGACAACCACGCACACACGCACGCACGCACGCACGTGCACCACCACCCACTACGCACGCGCGCGCGGAGCCACAGGTCCGCTACGACACGCGTCCGCGGATAGAGAAAATCAGCGCCATGGTAAGGGATGGGAGGGAGGGGTAGGACGTCAGATATGACGCGAGCGCACCTAGCTTGCCTCCCTCCCCTCCCCTCCCTCCCCTCCCTCCCTCCCTCCCCGCCTGCCCCAAAGGATAGCATGCTCCGCAGGCTGGCGAGCGCCGAGCAGGCCCTGCGCCGCGCGCGCGCGGACCGGGGCGCGGCCGGCCGCCCCGGCGCAGAGACGGCGGAGCAGGTGCTGGACTTAGCTGCCTTGACACGCCCGTCCTCCTCCTCCTCCTCCTCCTCCTCCTCCTCCTCCTCCTCCTCCTCCTCCTCCTCCTCCTCCTCCTCCTCCTCCTCTCTCCTCCTCCTCCTCCTCCTCCTCCTCCTCCTCCTCCTCCTCCTCCTCCTCCTCCTCCTCCTCCTCCGCCTCCGCCTCCGCCTCCGCCTCCGCCTCCAACTCCTCAAGACGCACCCAGACATGCTCGCCTCGTGGAAACATCGGGACAGGCGGTGTTTGGCCGATTTCGGCCTCGGGGCCCTCACCAGGCCCTGGGGCCGTCAAGAGACGATTCGGGATGAAGAACCGCCCTGGGGGAAGGGCCGGAACCTACGGGGACCGCACCAATGAAACAATCAGGACGTCGCATGTCTGGGCTGATATGCCCGTCTTGAAACGCAAAACGTGCCGTGTTGGCTCAGCGTGTTGGCCCGCGATGTGGCGAGCATATTGCGCCAGGCGTGCTTGCTCAATACACGTGTTGAGTTCCGCGTCACCACGCTGCGGGTTGCGTGTTGCGCATCGGGACAGCTACTCGGAAGGGCAATTGTAGGGTTGGGAGGACTGGGCTGGAAGAAGTGGTCACACCACCCGTGTTACCGCGTATGCTGACTGTGCTTCTTGCATTGTCGTGCCCTGCATCTTCCCAACCCCTTCCTCCCAACACGATGATTGTCTTTCTTCGGGTGTTGCTGGAAGTGCCCCTGGGCCGAGGTGCCCCCCGGATTCTCGGGGTGGCCCAGACGGCCTCCAGGGCACCCCTCACGAGGCCCAGAGGGCCTCTGGGGCTCCGAAATGGAAGGAAAAGCTGGGGGCACCTCGGGCCAGGGGCACTTCTGGCAGCACCCGATTTCTCAGCTGAGGTGCTGGACTTCGCGTCCCGGCGGGAGCAGCCCCGCTCCCTGCGCGTGATCCTGGCCTCGTGGAGCGCGGAGGCGCGGCACCTGGGCCGCCTGAGGCAGCTGGGCGCGCAGCTGGCCGACTTCTCGGCGGCGCTGGGCACGGTGAAGGCGAACCTGCTCGACCCGCCGCGCGGGAGGGTGCTCGGAGGAGACAAAGGCACCCGGCCCGCTACCATCGCCTCGTGTTCCCTTTTTGCTCGCCCTCCTGGGAGGCCCTCGTCGCCGCCGCTGGATCCGCCTCGAGATCCTGGCCAGAACGCACCCCAGGAGAGGTGCGGGGAGCAGCGGCATGGATACTTTTTGGCGCAGACAGGTGCGCGCCGCGGCGGAGGAGCTGCTCCGGCTCGAGTCCAGGGCCCGGGCAACGCAGCTGCTCCTCCCGCTGTGCCTGTCGGCATGGCGCTGCCTCTCCCGAGAGGCAAGGTCACAGCGCCACGCCGAGGACGTCGGCCGGCGGGCGGCGGCCGTCGCGTCCTCCGCCTGCGACGCCATGAAGCAGTGGGCGAGGATGTTCCCGACCGACCGGCAGGTCATCGCGGCCGTGGGCCGGGCGGAGCGCGAGGCCGCGCACATCCTTCGGCTACGCGCAAGAGGGATCTTTCGCTGGAGTGACCTCTGGTGCGGGCCCAATGGGGCCCCCCGATCGCTGAATGCGATGCGACAGCAGCGGCTTGCGCGCCTGGTGGTGTCTCCGAAGGGCCCCATTTGGGCCGCGCACCAAAGGTCACTCTTGCCTAGGGTCACTCTTGCGTGTGGACGACTCCTCGAGGAGCAACAGACGACATGGGCATGTGAGCTTTCGGGGCTCCGCGCGGGGGGGTCGCGCTGGGCCCTCCTGGCGGCGCCTCTGGCGACGCCGCTCCGCGCGCCAGGAAGGAGGAGGAGGAGGAGGAGGAGAACGAGGAAGAGGAGCAGGAGGAGGAGGAGGAGGACCAGGAGGAGGAGCAGAAGGAGGAGGAGGAGGAGGACGAGGAGGAGGAGGAGGAAGAGGCGGAGGGGCGAGGGAGGGAGGGCGCGCCGCCAGGGGGGCCAGGTTCAGATCTAGGAAGCCCGCGCGGGCCTTCGAGAGGCCCTGCCGGTGCCGTGCCTGTTCCTCCCGCGAGGCGGCGCCGCTCGGGCAGGCGGGCGGCGCCCGCGCGCTGGCGGCTCCCGCGGGGGGGCCGCCGCGCGCCGCGCGCGGGGGCGTGCGAAGCACGCGGGTCGGAGCGGCGGAGAGGGCGGCGGACCTCGAAGCAGAAGAAGCGCCATAGACACATAAACTTTCTAGCGCTCCGCACAGATCTCTTGGATCCGCGCTGGGGCCCCCTGGCGGCGCCTCCGGCGGCGCCCCTGGCGCGCTCCGCGCGCCTGGAAGGGGCTCCAGCGCAGATCCAAGAAATCCGCGCGGGGCGGCAGAAGTGTATGTTTATGGCATCTCTTCTGCTCCTTCTAGGAGAGGGTGGCGGACCTGAGGTTCGTGGAGAAGTTCTTCCTGGAGTGGCAGTTCTCAGCAGGGGGCGACCTAAGCAGTGTTTGTTCCCAACCATCCTGTGGTGTTGGGTCCTCGTTTTGAAGAGACAGCGCCCCGCGTTCCCACCTTCCTCCCGCTGCCCCCTCCCCCCTCCCCCTCCTCCCTCCTCCTCCCTCTCCTCCCTCCTCCCTGCGCTTCACCCACCCATTACAGCGCTTCGTGGCTCCATAGGGAGCTCCAGCAAAGGCCCCAGTGGCAGGGTCCGCATGCAGTTCCACCTCCATTTCGGCTCACCTCTCACACGTTTCGTGGCCCCATAGGGTGCTCCACCCAAGGCCCCAGTGGCAGGATCCGCATGCAGTTCCACCCCCATGTCGGCGCACCCCTCACACGTTTCGTGGCCCAATAGGGTGCTCCACCAAAGGCCCCAGTGGCAGGGTCCGCATGCAGTTCCACCTCCATTTCGGCGCACTCCTCACACGTTTCGTGGCCCCATAGGGTGCTCCACCAAAGGCCCCAGTGGCAGGGTCCGCATGCAGTTCCATCCCCATTTCGGCGCACCCCTCACGTTTCGTGGCCCCATAGGGTGCTCCGCGGAAGGCCCCAGTGGCAGGGTCCAAATGCAGTTCTACCTTCATTTCGGCGCACCCCTTCCACATTTCGTGGCCCCACAGGGTGCTCCGCCCAAGGCCCCAGTGGCAGGGTCCGCATGCAGTTCCACCCCCATTTCGGCGCACCCCTCACACGTTTCGTGGCCCGATAGGGTGCTCCGCCGAAGGCCCCAGTGGCAGGGTCCGCATGCAGTTCCACCCCCATTTCGGCGCACCCCTGTCACGTTTCGTGGCCCTATAGGGTGCTCCGCCCAAGGCCCCAGAGGCAGGGCCCGCATGCAGTTCCACTGCAATTTCGGCACACCCCTCACACGCACCGTGGCTCCATAAGGTGCTCCGCCCAAGGCCCCAGTGGCAGGGTCCGCATGCAGTTCCACCCCCGCACCCCTCACACATTTCGTGGCCCCATAGGGTGCTCCGTCGAAGGCCCTCGTGACAGGGTCCGCATGCAGTTCCACCCCCATCTCGGCGCACTCCTCACACGTTTCGTGGCCCCATAGGCTGCTCCGCCGAAGGCCCCAGTGGCAGGGTCCGCATGCAGTTCCACTCCCATGTCGGCGCACCTTCACACGTTTCGTGGTCCCATGGTGTGTTCCGCCGATGACCCCAGTGGCAGGGCCCGCATGCAGTTCCACCCCCATTTCGGCGCACCCCTCACACGTTTCGTGGCCCCATAGGGTGCTCCGCCGAAGGCTCCAGTGGCAAGGTCCGCATGCAGTTCCACCTCCATTTCGGCGCACCTCTCACACGTTTCGTAGCCCCATAGGGTGCTCCGCGGAAGGCCCCAGTGGCAGGGTCAGCATGCAGTTCCATCCCCATTTCTGCGCACCCCTCACACGTTTCGTGGCCCCATACGGTGCTCCGCTGTAGGCTCCAGTGGCAGGGTCCACATGCAGGTCCACCTCCATTTCGGCGCACCCCTCACACGTTTCGTTACCCCATAGGGTGCTCCATTCAAGGCCCCCGTGGCAAGTCCGCATGCAGCTCCCCCTCCATGTCGGCGCACCCCTCACACGTTTCGTGGCCCCATGTAGTGTTCCACTTAAGGCCCCAGTGGCAGGTTCCGCATGCAGTTCCCCCTCCATTTCGGCGCACCCATTCCACGTTTCGCGGCCACCAAAGGCCCTGGTGGCAGCGCCCGCACGTGGTTCCACCCTGCATTTCGGCGCGCCCCTCACGCGTTTCGTGGCCTCAGATGGGGCTGCACCGACGGCTCCTGTGGCAGCGTCCGCATGGCGTACCCGTGCCAATTTTGGCACACCCGTCACACGCGTCGTGGTCTCAGAGGGAGGTTCACCGAGGACGATACCCACACCTGCGTTACACACAGCTGCACATGGTTGGGCCCTTCGCCAGGATAATTTGGCGATTTCGTGGGCCGTTGTTCCGTTTCGGTTTCGTTTTGCGGCAAAGGCGGAGCGAAGACAAGTCGATGGAATATGAAAGCAAAACGAAAACGGAAAGCACCGTTTAGGTCGAGCCCAGGTTCTCAGAGCGGGTGCATGCCGCAGAGATCGGGGCAACGTAAGATTCGAGCACGCCGGAGCTCGGGTCTGCTGGCGCTTTTGGGCGAGCGCGTCCCAGATTTTGGCGGTCCAGTGGTCGTGGGATGTTTGCAGCGGGAGCTCGCGTCAAATTTCAGACAGGGCCTCGTCTTTTTCATGATAGCCGCGTCGGGCCAACCCGAGTCCCCCGAACCCAGTCTTACGTCTCCCCGAAGAGAGGGTTGAGCGGCACAGGTCCAGGCCTCCCAAGGGGGATCCGAGCAGATGTGGTCAGAGGATCGCGCAGCATCGCCGATGCATCGCCGATGCGGCTCGATGTGGAGTTCGATGTTCTCCACACCGACGCCAGCGATGCATCGGCGATGCGGCGCGATCCTCGGACCCCGTCCACTGGGACCCCACTGGAGAGGCCTCTGGCAGGGTGTCCGTGCTGCAGGACGCCTGCCACCACCCCGAGCGGATCGTGCAGCGCGCCAGCGCCCAGCTCCGCAGGAGCTGGGACAGGGAGCTGCTGGAGACTTGCTTGGTGTCCTGGAGGGAGCTGGCCGTGCACGAGCGGCTGCGGCGCCGCCACGGCGCGGAGCGCGGGCAGCAGACCACCGCGCTGCAGCAGCGGCGCGACGCGGGCGCGGCGCGGCTGGACATCCAGAGCTGCCTGCGGCGGGTCCCGCCGCCGCGCCGGCGCAGCACCCTGCGGCGGCGCCTGGCCGAGGAGCGCACAGGCGGCCGCAGTGCGTGGCACATCGTGTCCCCCAGGCCTGGGTGGTGAGAGGGGGGCGCAGGACGCGGCGCGCTCTTCCGCATCGCGACGGCGCGCCCCTCCTCGCCCTCGGCGCCGGCCTCGCGGGTTCCTGCTGTGCCCTCCTCTTGCGTTCTTCTTGCCCCCACCCTCTCATCGCGTCTCTTCTTTTCTCCTGTCCCATCCTCTGTGTGGGGGCGTTAAGAGGAGCGCCCGAAACGGCCGTTGTGACACCTCCGCCATCTCGGGGCGATCTTGGACTGCTCCGAGGCCGTCCCGCGGCGGGGCAGAAGGAAAAGGAGCCCGCAGAGCGGGAGCCACGGCGGGAGTCACGAAACTAGTCCGCAAAGGCTGCATCTCCTGAAGGCATCCTGGATGTCGCCTCGGGGTCCTGGGAGCCTCTTGGGCGATTTAGCTTCCCAGTTCATCGCGTCTGGGAGGCAGCTGGATCTGGAAGCCTCCTTGAAGCCTCAGAGGGGGGGGCCTCTCGGAGGCCTTGCGGAGGCATGTGATGCACTTTTCGGGGCCTTTTGGAAGCTGTCTGGGCTGTCTTCGAGCGCCCTGGGCCCGTCCGACGCCTTCGCAAGCAGTCTTGGGCCAGTTCTGGGCCCTCTTGGGCTGTCTTGGGAGCCTACTGGGCCGTCTGGAGGCTCTCTTGGCCGTCAGGGGGGTCTCTTGGGGCAGTCGTGGGGCCGTTTTGGGGTTGTCTTCGGCCGTCGTGGGGCCGTCTGAGGTCGTCGTGGGTCCTTGCAGATGCCCTCTTGGTCCAGCTTGGGGCTCTCCTGTGGCCGTCTGGCTCTCAGTAGGCACTCTGGGTCTTCGTTCGCAGCAAAGTGGGCCGACTCTAAAGCGAACTGGGGGACGTAAGAAGTGGAAGCGAGCGTGCGCTCGCGGCCGCCTTGGCTCAAACCGGCCGGCCGCCCAGATTTGACTGCGCCTCACCGCGAGGCACACGATCGCTATTGATACTAAAAGGCAACCCTTTTTACTTGACATGTCATCTCCTCTTGCATTGGGACTATCGCTACTACGATACAACCGAGCTGGAGCTCGGCTTCGCCTGAGGCGAAGCTGTTGGCTGGGCCTCCCAGCCCCCTTCAAACTTGGTAGCAGAGCTGGCCTATGGTGGTCAGCTCTAGCTATACTCCTCACCATCCACGGCACTACCTGGTGGACTACAGATACGGTGGAACATCAGGGTGCAGTGGCATTGCGCGGAGGAGTGTACATAGATACGCAGTACCGCAAGGAAATGTGCAGCGACACCTCTGCTCCAGCGGAGGTCTCTTACTCATATTCTACATCCCTGCGCTAGTACGTTCCTGAAGTCCACCCACCTACTCCAATTGGAAATTTCTTCGAAGACATAATGCATGGAAACATGCGATGCGATATACTGCCGCCTCCGCCCCCACGCAGACTTACGACGATAAAACACAAGTCTCCACCGACTACACCCGACTACGACCTACGAGGCCATTGGATTGGGGTCACTATCTTTGGGCTCATATGGGTCGCTCTTGGATGTGCGGTGGGAAATATGCGGGGCGGAGACGACACTAGAACGACTGGCCCCCACTGGGATCCCGCCGGCCAGGTACCATTTCGCGAGTTTGTCCGCGAGGTACACGCCTGGATCAACGTAACCACAGGCAACATGACGCCCTCCAACAGGCCGCTGACTACAGCGCGGTCTTGGAGGGCTCGCACGGACCATAGCCATGAGAGCCCCCCCAGCAGTCATCAATTTTGGTGTCAATTTAGGTGGTCGCCATACCGACGGCGTCACCTACATTATGTTCCTCTTAAGTACGAAGTTCGAGAACTTAGAAGAGGAACGCCAACTCAACTCTGGCACGGCTCTCATCGACTTTCGTCTCCATGCGGGAGAACGAATCGACCAGTCGTTAGCACGGTTCGAGATAGCCCGCTACGACGCTGAAACCGCCGGCTTCAACATCCCCAACGTCCAGATATTAACAGTAATATCACTCAGAGCTCTGGGAGTGGGGACGTCGCGGGCACAGCAACTCCTGCAGCCTCTGAACCACCATATGCCGAGGGACCAAGCACAATTTGATGCTCTCCTCGAACACATGAGGTCATATGCTCACATAGCTGAGAGGACCCCCGGCAATATCGGTGGTATTTTTAATCACGGTCACCGAACCGAGACCGTCCATACAGAGGCCAACGCAGGGCAACCTGCTAACAACGTTTGGAATGATGATATGCCGCCGACTGAGACCATTACATTGTTGGCTCAGAATGGCGGAACGGCCTCGGGGTCTCAAGACCCCTGGGCCAGATCTAGGGGACCACCCGATGCGGTCTCCCCTGTACAAGCCATGACCCTAATGGGCTCTGCGGGGCAACCCGCCGAGTCCGACTTCGACTCCGGCACCGATACTGATACGTCTTCTGATGATGAAGTTACCGCTTCGGACTACTCTGATATGCCTACATACCTTACCGAAGAGCAGCTAGCTCAGTGGTTATTTTTGGTTTATCAACTACACAAGCGTCGTTGGCGGAGATTCATGAAGAAACCAGTCAGAAGGGCACGACGCATGGCACGGCGGACACTTAAAGGGAAAGGCAAGGGTCGAAGTAAAGGCAAAGGCAAGCGTCGGCGACTACACGGCAGAGGCATACTAGCATTCCTAGCGTCTCTCACTGGGCCCCAGCATGAAGAAACGTTTTCGGTGCCGGCAGAAACCGTAGGCATACATCAGGTAATGGTAAGGGACGACGAGGAAATCCAAAGGACGCTAACGGTGAAGCCATGGAGTACGACATATGCCACAGCACACAGCATTTCCGACGCAGGCGATGGAAGAGGCAGGGGTCCGTCAATACATTTGGCTCGAACGGATTCCGACATACAGTGCGTCGATTGGGAGTCGCTATTGGCCGACCCTGCTGACGGCTCGGCCACAGTCATTCATTTCATGGCTGCCAGTGTGTTTATGTGCCAGTATGAACCTCGAAAGTTACGCCAACGAGCTATTTGAGGAGGTGTTCACTGGCCACAACGATATCGATTTGGCAGGGTGGCTGGGTGCACCCATCGCGGGGCAACCTGCAGATATCGAGTTTGTCGAGAACTTCCACATGCCCGTCGAAGGCAATTGTGGCACGGCGGGGGCGCCCGCGGATTCAGACTCTACCGCTCCCGCAACGGATGAAGAAGCACATGCCATGCTTCATCCTCGGGCGATTGGAAATCCGACAAACATAGAATTGATCGATGGTGATCCATTGCGGGGAAACCCGCGTGACGCTGGTGGCCTATCGGAACGTATTCAATATGAGCTTGGAATAACGAAGAAGTTCAGTATATTTTTGTTGCGTCAGATCGTTTCGCCAGCCGTCCGAGGCAATCGCCAAGCCGCATCCCCTTCATGAGGAAGAAGAAATATCACTACGATCCAAGTCTTTCGCCAATGGGCGACGAGGACGAAGAGGAAGACGATGGCCGCGCGGTACGTCGCGGTCGAGCCCCCAGTTTCTCAGCGGATCAGGTGCGAGCCCGCTGCAGCGGCGCTCGCTCCAGCGGTGCCCAGCGCCTTCACCCCCCTGAGGCGGGAACTTCAAGCGGCCCGCCAGGGAAGACGCCATGAGCGCACACCCCCCCAAGGAGGGAACGTCTGCGGGGAAACCCGCCCCAAGATGATCAACATCGAGGAGAAGGAGATTCAGAGGGTGAAGTACAGCGTCTAAAAGGCTGGAATACACCTGGATTGGCTCGTCAGCACATACCTGCAGATCAGATGGAATACTGGTTGAACGAAGGTTGGACCGAACATCAAATTCGACACTGGCATTCTCTTCGCCAAGCCAAACAAAATGATACTGGCGAAATCATTCGCTCGAAGAAGGGACAGACCAAATCGCAGCAAAAGCTGATCGTGCGCGATCACAAGAGGGCCATCATCGAGGATCGAAAGCGCCACAGAGGCGCTCGCTGTACATGCCCCAGCTATGCCGATCACAGGCTCCTCGGCTGTGCCGTGAGACGCCCGTCAAGAAGCCCGAAGTTGAAAAGAACACCGTGGGTTTGGTCACATGGGGACGGTCGGCGCTATTGTTCTGACCCCAACAGAACGCCATACGACAAGCAGCTGACGGAGAAGGATTACCTCCCTGCTACAGTCACAGAAATTGAACAAACAAAAGCTATGTGTAATAATTTGGCCCGACAACAACGCACTACGTACAGTGTTGATATTCGTAGCTACCTGTCAGCGGGGAGACCTGCGTTGACATTTGGCTATGTGCCGACCAAGACAGGTGCGCTTCCGATGACAACGGCAAATCGCCTATCTCCAAAGGTACGCTTGGCTCTACAATATCTCGTCAGAAACTTCTTTCGCATCGAGAATGTAGTTTCGGTCAGATTAGCCAAGAGTATACATAAGCTACCCCCGGTTACTTATGCTGACAGCTGCACATTGGTCCATTACGACAACGACGTGAATCCAGGATTCCATTACCATGAAGCAGAAGGTACTGCTCTGAATCTACATGATATCACTGGATTAGCACATTCACGAATCATCCAATGCCTGAAGTCCACTAAACCTCAGGCAGGCTTCGATCAGGACGTGTCAAAGTTTGAGGACTTGGCTGACGCGCCGACGCCTGAAGGAGCCGCAAGAGAGGCTTCAGAAGCCGAACCAGAACATGATGACGGACGGCTGTCTACGATCTACAAGGAATCAGAAGCTGATCTTGAGTCACATGTCATGGAGGTATGGTACGCAGAGTTGCGAGGGGAAAAGGAATTGTTGGAGGTAGCTCCACTAGAAGACCTCTTTACCGTACCCACACAGATGGTTCCTGATCAGAGTGTGCTGATCACTGTAGCTGATAAACAGCGGGGAAGCCTGCCGAAGTGGGGACGCACTC